TGGAGATGCGGGGTATCGATCCCCGTACCTCTCGCATGCTAAGCGAGCGCTCTACCATCTGAGCTACATCCCCATTGCTCTTTGATTTCTATTTTACATAATTTAAAACCAAATATATCTCCTAAATGCCCAAACAGTTTCAAAAWAKAAAAAAAAAAAAAGAGAGAGTACTAAATAGATTCTATAATGTCAAAAACATTTTTATATAGATGATCTTGTATATTTCTTGATTTAAAGGTAAAAGAAAGGTGAATGAAAAAGCTCATTCCATTAGGAAGAAGTCTCACTGTAAGTTCTCTACTTGTATCACTTTCCCAGAAAACAAAAACAACTCATTTTGTGGTTTGATCAAAACTGAGAGACCTGTGAACTTTGCTAATCCTTCTGGTAAAGCATGACTCCTAATATAATCGAGAGTAGAACCACGAAAATCGATACCAGAATCGGAACATAGGACGCATTACCGGTGGTACCCGTTCTCTTGCTTTCATCTTCACGCCTTCTGCTTTCCACATTCCCTTCCAAGCGAAAACTAGAAGCAGAAGACGCAGGGGATATCACATCCCACATGGATTCCGCAATCAATAAAGACGTTTCAGTTTCCACTTCAGAAAATTTTGTTACGTCAAGAGAGGAATGTTCCATGGACATTAACTCAATACAACGTTCTTTTACCACCTATTCAGATAATCATCAAACAGTGAATAATACATGTATTAACATTTGGAACAAGAGTTTACAAAGCGTAATGAAAAATTTGAGACATTGCGAGTTGCTCATATACCTCGAGTGATTCAAATGGCTGTAGATAATCACAGATGTATGTCCCGGCCAACCACGGAACAAGAACTCTCCTGGGAAGACGAAGATGGCATGCTTTTCTGTTTACAAACATCGAGACATTCAGCTTTTTGTGTTTATCAGTAAACGTAAAGGAAACATAAACGAAAACCAGACAAATCAGACGTTATGTTTAGCAGATGACTTACGTCGATGAGTTGAATATGAATTTTGAAATGGGTAATTTCGACATCTCATCTGCTTCTTCATTGTCTCCAACATCAGTTGGTTTGAAATCCTGCTCGGCCTCGTCACAGATAATGTCCAATCTACTCTGCAAACTCCTAATGATGTCAGCCTGAAAAGAAAATATACTGACATCTTGTAAAACTTCAATAGGTCCAATATAACTGGTACGAGCTCATATTTAAGTAAACAAGAACATAAAAAAAAAGCTAGGAAAAGATGTAATTGTAGTACCTTTATATCAGCAATAGCTTGTGAAACTGGTTCTTTCATGTTCAAGTAGGCATAAGAGTATATGGAACCACCGAAGAGTAGAATTCCAGTAACATCCTTTGCAGTTAATGCTTCTCAGCATTAAACCGTGATGTTAGATTAGATCACTAAAAACTTGTCCATCGAACGAACCCAAATCCGTGTGTCTAAGTTAGAGTGATAAAAAAAACATACCCTCAGCTCGATTATCTTTCATGAATGGGAATAACAATTCAATTTCATGCTCGCCATCCGTGTTGCAAGGCTCATCGTTATGTACCTTCACTCCAACAAAAGTTAAGAAGAAATTACAAACAGTGGAAGGTTATCTTCAGCTATCCTTTCTGCATCATCATTCCTTTTGTGGTCTACATTAACAATCATCGATGTAAACAAAGAAACTACACTTCTGAAAACCTATTGCAATGATTGATGCATGAAAATAAGCTATATATATCAGACGGACTCCATTCACAAGGATAGCTTAACTGCATAGAGTTTTGCCTGTACCCTTCAACATGTTATAGTTCCGTTTAAATCACTAGACACTTCAAGCTTTGAAAACTCTAAAATGTTTCAAGAACTCTATTCAACAATCAGCAGAAAAACATTAAAAAGCACAGGGTTTACTTTCTCCTCACCAAATCCCCATCAATCATTGCATTTGCACTCTTCAGCTCTTTTGCATGAACTGCAACTTCTTGACGGAGAATCTCAGTAAATGTTTGGCGAGTTGACTCACCCCCACGGTAGATCGGTAATCTACTCGCAAAAAAAGTGGGAAAAAAGCAAAAGAATGAGATCATTAATTAATACAAGAAAGGGGTTCCAGTATTG